AGAGCCTGGTCCATCACAGGGGAGGGACTTGGGGCACAGAGCCTGGTCCATCACGGGGGAGGGCCTTGGGGCATAGGGGCATGGTCCATCACAGGGGAGGGACGTGGGGCATAGGGGCATGGTCCATCCCCCAGGGAGGGACATGGGGCCCAAGGCATGGTCCATCCCTGGGGGAGGAACGTGGGGCACAGAGCGTGGTTTGTCATGGGGAAAGGACATGGGGCACTGGGCATGGCCCATCATGAGGGAAGGACTTGGAGCACAGAGCGTGGTTTGTCTCTCTGCCTGGTGGACAGAGGGAAGGAAGCCAGTTAGGAAGAGAAAGGTCAGGATTTTCGGAAGAGACACAGATGAACAGTGTGTCAGAAATGAGATAGCGGATTTCAGGGGAAGACAGGAGGCTGTGCCCACAGAGCCGAGTCCTGGAGAGGAAAACAGAGACTTCCACTTGGTTTAGAATGCTATCAGATTGTAGGAGCAATTTCAGGACATACGAGAGGTTAAGGAGTCAGGGAGAATTAGGAAAGCGATAAAACACAAGCCGCCCTTCCAGGGAATTTTGCATTGATGAGGAAAGAATAGAGATTTCATTGGGGGAGACCAGTCACACGCCTGGGAGCAGAGAGGGCCTGGGTGTCCACAGGGTGTCAGCACAGAGCAAACACGGCCATCACCAACAGGTACAGTCGATCTTTTGGGGTGATACAAGTGTTTTAAAACTGAATAGGGTAATGGTGACACAACTCAGTAAATTTACAAAAATAATTTAATTGTATTCTTAAACTCGTTGAATTGTGTGTGACCTCAAGAAAGCTGTTTACAAAGTAATAATACCACAGTATAGGCACTCTGGAAAACAAATAAAAGGGAAATAATATTCTACCTTTTGAGTATTATTATTTTTGTGTGTTTAGGGTTTTCATCATTTGTTTGCTTTTTCTCACATTATAATAATTATAGTGTATACCTGCTTTTGTTTCTTTTTCATAAACATCTCTTCATAATAGAGCACAACATTCATAACCACAAATGTTCACAAATGTATAATTTTACATTAGAGGAGATACATCATCATCGTAGTGTCCTTCACAGTCTGAATCCCCTCGTCAGTCATGGGGACAGCACCTCAGTGGTCATTCTGGAGAGCAGGTGTGGAAGAAATGACACTGACAGAGCCATTAACGGGGAGGGGACTCCTCCAGAGAAAGCAGGGGGAGAGGACGCACGGGGACACGGGAGACTGACTGCCGGAGTTGGCCAGAAGGGAAATGCAGATCTTGTCTCTGAGCGGTTGGAATATTCTCGCTGGTGTACGGAGAATCAAATGGAGACTTTAAGATGAAGATGGAGGGTTGGGAATTGTTTTTTGGGAACGATTTGGGCAAGTTTTTAGGAAGGGACCAAAGTTCAGCGTGCAGGTTGGGAACATGTGACACCACAGAAAACTCACACGTGGCTCTGGAGAGACAGCTGTGGAAGGAGAGAGCCAGGCCAGCGAGGGGTCCCCAGGCAGGGGCTGCAGTGACACAGACGTGGAGACAAGCTTCGGGGACGCCGGCAGGGAGCGCTCACCCTGGCTGTGGTAGTGGGTAGGGTGACGGGGCACACTGGAAGAGCTGTTGTAGGGGCAGTGGTCAGGACAGGGAGCTTGAAAATTCAGGGCTCTTGCTTAGCAGGACCGTCCTTAGTCCCAGACGCCTGTGGAGGCTCTTAGCCCCGTCTCCTCTGAGGAGTCCTGGTATGATCATGCCCAGAGCCATCCACGCTTCCCCTTCCTCTTTGTAGGGTTTGTAATTGCAGTTTTATTTTATGCCTTCGTTATTCTGTGTGATTTTATTCTAAATACTTATTTTTTCTGGTCCGGAAACAAATAAGATGTAAATTATAATTCCCTGAAGTTAATTAAAACTTCCGCTGACGTGGGTTCACCCTCACCTCTGTTCACTGAAATAACATTCTTGTTGTACATTTAGATTGTGAAAGATGCGTACCAGGACAAGACGGCCACGGTTTACCCCGAGCCACAAGACAAAGAAGCGTTTGTCCGCTCTCGGATATACAGTGCCGACTACGACCAGATCCTGCCTGACTGTTACTCTTGGCCTGAAGATGTGCAGAGAATGCAGACCAAAGTTGAGCAGTAGAAGAGCCGGCATTTCCAGCTCTGCTCATGAGATCTTGAAATCGTTTATAATGTTTAAAGGGTAGAATCTTTTATGATGATTCATAATAAGCTGAGATTCAGAAATTTTGCTCTAATAGTCTAAAAATCGATAGAAGAATATTGATGCAAATCTGGATAAACACCACATGAGCCAATTCTGCTCCGTTTGCCTTGTGGTTATTTATGATTTCTACTTTAGTTATTCTGCCCCAGTTCTCTTTCAAAGCTATTGTACCTACTACTGAGAAACTCGTCATTTTTATAGAGGAAACTAATGGGAAGACCAAAATACAATTAGTACTGACATCACATTAAAGCACATAATGCTTTCGTTGATCATTTTGTTGCAGTCTACTTTTTAAAAAAGATAGAAATGAATTTAGACGTAGACAAACTTTTGCTAAACAGAAACAATAATACTTTGTTGCCTAGAGAAAGATGACTTCTCAGGTGCTTATACTGGAATCCTAGGTTATGTTTGTTCTTTCTGTGCAATTGAATTCTCACATTTCTAAGAAAGATCCCTGCTGTTTACAATGCCTCGTGCAGCCTTAGATTTTAATATTCTTTTGTCGTTGTTACATCTTAGGGAGTAAAGCTCTCATCACCTTGGTCCTTAGTCAGAAATCCCTCCCAAAAGCGCCTTTATTTCCCCTGAACCCAGCGTCCTGTCCTCAGGCACCGCACTGCTGCAATGGGGACTTTGAGGACTGCAGCCTGGTCCAGATGCTGGTGCCTTCAGCTCAGCGAGGTCTGAGTGGGGAGAAGGGCTGAGAGGGGACTTGGAGTTAAGATCTTTGAGTAGGGGCTGCCTGGGGAGCCGACCTCTGCAGACCAGGATCTCAGGAGTCAAGCATGACCCAGAAGAGCTGGGCTCCTGCCTCTCCTGTCCCCTGCTATGTGGCCCCTCAACCAGCTCCACTGAATTCTGGCTCACTGTGTTGCACTGAGCTCACTCTGTTCAGAGTCTGGAGGAGGTTTTGTAACTATGAACTTAATATCCAAAATTATCTTTACACCACGTTAAAATATTTTAATTACCAAGATCATTCTATGAAAAACAGTAGTTACACCCCTAGATTGTATTAATTTACTTCAGAAATTAATGATTAATGGAAACAATTTTAAATTCTCAAGCTCAGGTGCAATAACATTTGCTATTTATTTATAGAATTAGTTGGAAGATTTTCTGTTTTTGAAGTAATGCTGTAAACGAAGAGCATAAGAAGATATTCAAGATAAACTGTACTATGAAGTGATTTTTTTTGGAAGTTGATGGTTACACAATCTGTTCTAGGTATGAGTAGAAGGGGTTGGGGTATTTCTGAAGGTGATGTGTAGTTGGGAGTTTCCTTAACAGAGTTATTTGAAAAAGATTCTTCTTGTCTGTTACCATGTGGTCTTGTAGCTCTAACGAAATGTATTTACCTATGCAAAAGATTTATTAAAGCATAGAAAAAGCAAATGAATAAAATTATAATTGTCTTTCTTTCTTCAAATATGGTTACATTGTAATGCTGGGCCTATGGGGGTCATACAACAAAGTATGGTGAGTTCCTAAACTATTCTAGTAACTTAGGATTTCAGCATGAGCTTCATACAACACAAATGCAGTCACATGCTGAATGCTGTGATGTGAGTGCCGGTCCCTGTCCTCAGGGAACGTAATGAAACAAGGATTACAGGGTTACCTGCCAGTGTCAAGTAGTGTACGTGGATTATTTTAATTTAATGTAAACCCCACCATTTTCATGAAGTTGGCATTCTAAGGAACTTGCCAAGTCCACAGACTAGTAAGGGAAGGACATGGGCTTTAAATCTGTGTTCATCTTTCTTCGTAGTCTGTTCTCTCACCAGACCACAGCCTGGAACAGAACTGACCTGTGTGTGATGTTATATTTCCACTGGCTTCGTACAAAAAAAAAACAAGTGGGATTCATGCTAATAATATATATTATTTAAACCAGTATGTCCAAAGCATTATCATTTCAACATATAATCAATTTAAAACTGTGAATGAGATGTTTACATTAGTTTGTTCCTACTAAGCCTTCAAAATCCAGTGTGTGTTTTATACCTGTATTTCCATTCAGAGCGGCCGCATCTGACCAGCTGTCAGGCAGTGTCTGGAAGAGGCGGTTAGTTACAAGCCAGTAGCCACATGGCTGCGTGTCTACGAGGGAGGTAAAGTGTCAGTCGGTGGGCAGTGCTTACTCAGAAATACCAGGGGGGATAGCACCTGGGTGAGTGCCAAGAACACCAGCTCGTCTGTGCTGGCCACGCACCCAAGGGAGGGAGCACAGCCCCAGAACAAGAACATTTTTTTTAAAACAATTTTTGTAGCCTTCCCACTTAGCTTCCCACATGCAAAATGCAACAGGGGCACACAGAAGGGAACACTGGCCCACGAGCGGGAAAGTCAGGGAGGAGGAGGTGGTGGGAACAGTGACCTGGGGGTCAGAGCAAGCAGGAACTCACCAGGTGGGGATGCCTGAGAACTGCACTGTTGAGTGCCTGGACGAGAGGAGCAGACTACAGCACAGCCACGAGTAGAGGAGGTGGTGGCCACGGATTCTCTCAAATTAATGAAAAGCATTAATCTGACTGGCAGATTCAGAGCTGGCAGGCCTTCAGCCAGGTCATCACAATCACAAAGAAAACCACACTTCAGGCATCAGAATCTAATTGGTGAACAAAGAGAAGACTTAAAGCAGCCAACAAAACAGACACAGAGATACATGCAGACTCACACACACACTCACACAGACCCAGAGAACACACATAGACACACAGACTCACACAGACACATAGACTCAAACACAGACTCACACAGACACACAGACTCACACAGACACACAGAATCACACACAGACTCAGACACACATACAGATGCACACAGACTCACACAGAACCAGACACACATATAGACACACAGACAGACACACACAGACTCACACAGACCCAGAGAACACACATAGACACACAGACTCACACAAACCCAGACAAACACACAGACACACAGACTCACACAGATCCAGACACACACAGACTCACACAGACACACAGACTCACACAGACCCAGACACACACAGACTCACACAGACACACAGACTCACACAAACCCAGAGAACACACATAGACACACAGACGCACACAAACCCAGACAAACACACAGACACACAGACTCACACACAGACTCAGACACACACAAAATGCCTTCAGAGGTGCAACGCTAGGAATGACCACAACTCGACAGCAGAGGATGTGGGAGATGATGGAAAGACATCTTCAAGATGCCGAAAGAATAAAATACAGAAAATATCCTTCAGAAATGAAGGCAAAATAGAGATACATCAGACCAATGAAAGTCCAGAGAGTTGGTGGCTGGCAGCCCTGCTCTGCTGGAACACTGAGTCATCAGGCTCTGGGAAAACATTCCCGGCTGGAGGCACCAGAAAGGGAGATGAGTTATTATTACAGTAACAGTGTACTTGGAGTTTTGTTTTGTTTGTTTTGATACAGGACCTCACTCCCACCTGGGCTAGAATTTGGTGACAGGATCATCACACATGGCAGCCCCAGACTCCCGGGCTCCAGGGGCCACCTGGCCTGGCCGCCCACAGAGTGAGGCCTGCAGGCCTGTGCCACCATACTCGGCCGGTTTGTGCAATGAGAGGAGTCTCCCTACGTTGCCAGGCTGGTCTCGAACTCCTGGCCTCAAGTGTTCCTTCTGCTGCAGCCTCCCAGAGTTGCATGTGGGGTTCATAAAATATGAAGGAAGTAAAATACACGGCAAGAGAATGGCGGAGGGGGGGGAATAACTGAGTTATGCTATTGTGTGGTTTGCAGGTTATTCAGAGTAGTACATTATTAATTCAAGAAATACTGCAGCAACTAATATGAACAATCTACAAAACCTACACTTTAAGATGTAGGGCAGTTAGTCAAAGAATATTGTAAAATTAAGGAAGCATATTGTAATTGCCATGGTAACCATTAAAAATAAAACAAAAAGATATAGTTGAAAAGCCAATAGAGAAAACAAAATGGAAAATTTTTTTAAATACTTGATTAATCCAGAGGAAGGATAGAGGAGGAACAAAGAACAGAAATTAAAAGCTTCACTCCCGGGATGACTATGAAACAAACAGCAGGTTGAGAGATGCAAACCCAGCCCTACTGGTCCTCACGCCAGATGCAAGAGAACTAAATACTCCTAACTTAATGGCAAAAATTGTCAGGTTGTATTTTTCAAAAAAGATCCAACTATATTCTGTCTCTAAGAGACATTTTTAATATAATGACACAAAAAAGCTGAAAAGTAAAGGATGAGAGAAGATGGTAAGTTGAAGTTGGCATGGCTCTACTAATACCTGCATCCAAGGAACAGACTTGAGGGCAAGGTGCATTGCCAGAGAGAGTGACAAAAGGCCAGTCGCTGAAAGACATGATTCTGTCTGCTCTTAATAGCCTCAAAATACATAAAAACATCTGAGAAAAGTAATGGTGAAATACACAAATTGTAAATAATAGCTGGATATTTTAACTGACCTCTCTCCATAATTGAAAAAATAATCTGTAAAAGCAAAGAGGGAATTTACCCTACAGTCTGTACATGTACATTAAATCTGAGAACATAGAGAACAATGGCACAGCACAGGAGACTCACAGGAACCTACGAGTCTCCCAGGGAGCATGGAAATTAACAGGTGGAGAATAAAATGTCAGTGAGAGGAACAGGAAAGCGGCCCTACAGCATGGAGAAGATGCGCACTGGAACCTACGTTACACCATACGAGAAAGAAGAGTCCAGACTGGTTAAAGGTCTGAACGTGAATCAAAGTTAAGGTAGCACACAGCATGTACTGCACAGACTCCACACGCGGTCACACAGTGGGACGTGTTACCAGAGGCAGGTCTGGGGGTCAGCACGAGGGGTAGGAGCCCCAGCACCGCGGGACAGCGGGTATTCCTGGAAAAGGACCAGTTTAGGTGACAGGCTCAAATTCTCAGCTCAGAGCACACTCTACAAAGTAAAGTAATTTGTACGTTTTTACTGAAAGAATCTGCTTTCTCTTACTACCTGGAAGAAATAACTGAAGAAATAACTGAAAACCAGGGTAATCTTGCTGGTTGCCGGGTTATGCCGAGTTAAACTCACGTCCTCGCCAGGCCTCTTGTGTAAAAGAAAATGGGCCCAGAGACAGCAGGGCTTGATTTGGGACAGGGAGAGGCACCTGGGGGACCTGCGGCATCCTGGGGAGGGTGAACGGCAGTCCCAACGGGAGAAGGCTGGTCTTGGAGCCGCTGCGTCCCCCCTGCTGGTCCAGGCCGCCCGTCCTGCTCTGGTCCGGCCTTGCCCGAGACCCTGCAGCGCCTCCCGGAGGCCGGAACCGCCTTGTGGACGAAACCAGTTTGCTTGTGCTTCTCCCAGTTCCCGCACGGTCTCTACACACACAAAATCAGACTCCAGTGTGGAGACACGCTGTGGTGGAGAGAATTAAAGTCAGGCCCGGGGGAAGACTCACACCAAAATAAATTCTAGACTTGGGTCACGTATCCTGGGGAGAAGCTGAGGAAAAGAACATGGGACTCTGAGAATATCCTCCTGAAGACGCAGAAACGCAGTGTGGGTGGGGCGGTGCTGCGGGGCAGGGGGCGGAGCGCGACGGGAGGGGCGGGGCAAGGGGCAGGAGGCGGAGCGGGATGGGAGGCGGGACAAGGGGCAGGGGGCGGAGCGGG